TGGAGATTACCTCGGAAACAGCGTCAAAATGAATCTTCAAGTAAAGCCAATCGACAGCTCTTCAAGAGGAATCCGCCGTCGTTGCAACACTTTTACTCGAAATGGAAGTAAGCTCAATAAGAATGTGCCAAGTCTATTGTCTGATGCTGAAAATCATGACTCTGGCAGAACTAAACATAGTCTACGACATTTAGAATCTGCCCATTAGTATGTCCTCTCTAAAAGATCAGTTTAAACCAACCTTAATGTGAATGAATGAAGCTGCCTCGGTTTTGCGTAGTATTTCACTCTCAAGATTGTATATTATATGTTTATACTTTTTGTATTGACACCTCATTACTAATAGACAATAAGTATGAAATATATCTGAAAAAGCACATCCTAACATGGGGCAAATTAGGTTTGCTAATTAAAACTTTTGTTTTTCCCATTCATAACATACAACCTTGTGAAAGTTTTGTTAATCCCATCGCATTCTTCATCAAATTCCTTTGAATGCCAGTCCCATCATTTCTAGATTCGCTCTCGAGGCAGCACTCTTCCCTGGCTGCAACTAGTACAGCCTCCTCATCAATCCTGGTGCCAAGTAGGTTATCTGTCCGACCTCTTGAGTAATGCTCCCCATCGGAAAGGTCGCTGAAGCCAGTAAAATTGAGGGATGCTGGTGAGTTTGCTATAGAGACCGGATTCTCCAACGCTTCGGAGACCCCATCCACACTAGCCACTGCTGCTGCCGCCGCCGCTGTAGCCACTGCAGCTGCAGCCTGAATGAAAATCTCGGGAGCCAACTGACTGGCGGCTGGTAGGATAATATTAGATATGGGAGATGAGTAGGTGGGGCTGGTGGACATGTTGGTATTGGGCAAAGTGAAGAGAAGGCGGGCGATAGAATTTGTTGCATCTACACTCCCTAGGGAAGAGGTCCGAGCAGAGAAGCCAGGTTGCATAAGTGAAAGAAATGGGACAGGTCGGCTTACTTGACCAGTCGGAGGTAGAAGGAAAGACGGCGGAAATGCATGACTCTGCGGGTCTAGATAACTAGAGCTTGGGCACCGACTTTCTTGTTGTTTTTGCTTAAATGCTGATAGCGCTGAATAAGTTGACGGTGGTGACGATGAAGTTGGTGGTTTTGGTGGTGTTGCTGCAGCGGATTGTACTGATTTTGCTGCTGTTGGTGGTGATCTTGATCGTAAAGTAAGCGATGTAGATGGTGGTGGTGGTGAAAGTTGCGGAGTAAGTTGTGTTGGGGATGGTAGCGATGGCAGTGGTAGGACTGGTGAATGAAGTTGGTGCGACGGGGATGGTGTGGATGGCAATTGAGTTTGAAGAAATGGCAAAGGATTAAATGGTCCTCCACTCCAGATTTCGTTGGATGGGAAATTAACCAAGCTCGTTCGTAGTAGCCAATCAGATGTGAAACCGGCCTCGCTATTACTTTTCAAGCAGACTTCAGACGCACCCAGGAAGCTAGTTTCGGCCATGTTTATAGGGCTCGGGTCAGAACAGCTATCCACAATGCCAAACTGGTTGCTGGGGCATGAAAGTGTTGTGGCCGTCTTTGAATCGCGGCGTTGCTGCTTGAGGTTGGACAGCATCTGCTTTTTCCACTTTGTCCTAACAAATAAATTACAATTAGATGAAATCAGTTAAGAGTATAGAGCATCGATTGGATAGATTTATATGTATAGTCATTTTATTATATATATATATATATATATATATATATATATATGGCATACAGTAAATATAAATATATATAAATGATTTAACCCTGCTATCATAACTTGGTCATATTGTCAGGAAGATCTAGAGGAACGCACCTTGTCCGAAGTCCATAGTATGCATGGTAAATTACAGATTCGCCGCTATCGTTGTCGGCATCATCCTTGAGCCTTGCCAGTCTTAGCACCACACCACAACTCATCAAAGAGACAACTGACTCCGATTCTCTGACCAATAGTATATTAAATACTTAGGGTTGCTCTCCGTATGTCCTATGTTATTCATCCATCCTATCTCCTCGTACCACCCCTTTAGTATTACAATTTTTACTTGTTTATCTAAGCCTAGTTGATACCTATTCACACTCCCCTTACTGGCTCCCACATCCCTTCCCTGTGCTGTAGGTGTTGACCCTAAGCTGAAGTTTAGTCTGCGATCCTCTTCTTTCAGGTTCTATTAAAGTCACCCTCTTGTACCGTAGAATCCGTCTCATGCTTTCTTGGTTCAGTGATTTCACTCGATCACTGCCACTCTACCTCAAGCCTCTGATAGCACGTAAGCGTCAGCCACACAGAAAAATCCCCCAAAACCTGGATTCACAATTGGCGTGGCGACCTAGCTTTACGCTGCAGATTCCCTTATCGTTGTGCCGCATTTGGACCGAGCAAATCTTGTGGTAAAGCCTTTACTTCATGGACCATGTCTATGAGCAAATTTATCTACTAATAGCCAATTATCGACGGTCTTCGCTGCAACTCTCGCTCTTCTTATGCCCTAGTCTCTTGTGCGCAGAGCCCCAAATGTGATATCTCTTCTTGAATTGAGTAGGCTGACTAAAAGCATATCCACTTGGTGTCCGATTATTCCTTTTTGGTCTCCTTGCGGTTTCTTATTCTCCAGTTTAAAATACTTCCTTGATCAGGTCGTCTGCTTTTTGCTGATCTTGTTGTTACCCTATCGCCTACGAATTTGCTCGGAGCCGGAGAGGATTGTGGATGGGTCTTACAAAATCTGGTCAAAAGTGCACACTTTATCTTCGTTTAGATGAGCAGGTAAGAAATTTTGTTTGTGAAGGGGTATACGAGGATATAGGATAAGTAAATATCCCAGGAAAGAAGTAGAGATACGACAACTGTTTAGCAGACAATTGGTCAGAGGATCGATTCCCATCGTCTCTAACGAGTTGTTTTTTGGTTAGAAGTATGGCAAGGCCAAATGACGATACCAGCGAAATGTTTGGGATATACCAAATATACGGCTAGACTCCAAATTGTCATTAATACTATGGACTCTGGACATGATGCTTTCCTCTAGGCCTTCCTGCCAATATTAACAAGTTGATAAGCCAAGGTTAAACAACTTGTACACATCGAAGGGAGACCGTCATCATACTAGAGGTCATATATATATATATATATATAGTCGAAAATATCATTAATGTGACGCAAATGAATTGTAAAATTCGCTCAAGTAGTTTATTTTGCCTTAGTCACGAGTACTTCTTATACCTTTGAATAAGACAAAAATGTATTTTCCTAGTACGCATTTATTCGCGGACTTTGTAACTTTTACATATGTTATGTATGTATATTGAGGAAATAATCAAACATTTCTTCACGAGGTATCAAAGAGAGAGTTTAATTTCACATTGAAATTCGTATTGGTGACAAAGTGAGGGGATATACAAAGAATAAATGGCTTTATATAACTGTCTTGATTTATCTCTGTTGAGCCGTCATTAATTTCGTTTGGGAATGTTTGAGGAAGTTATTTGTGGGTGTAACTCATCAGTAGATAACGGCAGATTTCACAGTGTTTGCTGTAGTTTCGTTTTGCTTGCAGGTTCCAGTTTAAGAATTCCTCAATGCATTCGCCAGTTTTGATGAAATTGCTTTGAGCCTAAGATTGAGCTTTATTGAGTCGTTATTGCGTTG